GGGCTGGCGGCGGGCAGAGCGGGGCACCCTGGCAGCTGGGCCGGCACCAGGGGGCCATGGACACCCCGAGTCCAGTGGGCTGCTGTCCGCGCTCACGGCCAGGGTGACCCCAGCCCGGGGCCCAGGCCCAGCCACCCTGGCTGCATGCCAGAGGCTGCCCGGGGAGCCAGGCCGCCAGCCTCTGGGGCACAGCCTGGGCTGGGACTGCTGCTGGGGCGCGGGCGAGGCGCTGGCGGGGCCCTGGGGCCCCAGGGCAGGCAGGCTGGGGGGCACCAAGGCCTCCATGGCGGCCCCCGCGGGAAAGGCGAGCGGGACAGGGGCTCTGCAGCCCAAGGCCCAGAAAGGCCGGGTGAGGCGGGCCGTGCGCATCTCCAGCCTGGTGGCCCAGGAGGTAGGTGACCCCGCCCCTCCCCCCGCTTTGGGACACAGACCTGCAGCTCCAGCGGGGTGCTGGCCTCAGGGTCCTGGCCCCAGCCCGGCAGCGTCTGAGCAGCTGATGGCTGGGGAGCCAGGAGGCGCAGCCTGGCGGCCCGCTCTGGGCTCGTGTGCCTGTGCTGGACCTGCTGGGCCTGGGCGGGCAGCGCTTCTCTTGCCAGAGCCCCTCGCTGCACCCCCAGTGCACCTCAGGGGCTGGCTGGCAGCGGGCAGCCTGGCACGGAGAACCGGGGTGTCGGTCAGGGGAGTTCGGGCTGCTCCGGGGTCCAGCCTGGGGCAGGAGGGGGTCAGAGGCCCCTGGGCGGGTGGTGAGGACAGGCTGGGTGCGCGACCTCTGGGTGCTGGTGGCCTGGGCCAAGGCCGACGGCCCTCCTGGGACCTCCTGGGGCTACCTCTGTGCCCCAGGGACTCCTGCCAGAGCCTGGAGTGGCTGGGGCGGGGGGTTGGGGAGGCTCGGGGGGGGTCTGAGAATCACTCTTCACCCCACCCAGCACCTGGGTGCTCTACCTGGCTCCTGCGCCTCCGGCCGGGGGCAGCGTGGGGATTCAGGTGAGCCGAGGAGCTGAGGGCCGGGGGCCGGGGCAGCTGTGCTGCCAGAGCCGGCCCGGCCCCGCGTCCGCCTGGGCGTGTTTTCGAGCCGGGCAGTGCTGTCCTGTCACGGGCGGGCGTGGGCGGGGTCTCGCTGGGGCCTTGGGATGGGGTGGGGCCGTCCGTCTAGGGCAGGGACCTCCTGTTGTCTTGGGGCTCCCGGCCAGTTCCACTTGCCCCTGCAGGCCATTGGCCAGTGGAGCCGTCTGCGGGGCTGGGCAGGGCCGAGGCCGCTCCGAGCGCTGGCCAGTGCCTCCCCTCAGTCCCATGGGCCCCTAGCGTGGTGACGCCTCTGACCGTATGGCCGGCCTCAACTCCAGTGATTTCCTCTCGGGCACTGTTCCCCAAACAGTCCAAGGGATCCCCAGCTTGAGTATGCACGGGAGTTTCTGGGGCCCTACCCACCCTGAGCCCTGAGGGCAGGGCCTGGCACTCCATGCTGGGAGGCCGGGGTGTCCCTGGCTGGCAGGGTAGCCCGGGTGGCAGGGAGGCTGCATGTAGGCCCTGGGCTTAAGTCAAATGCCTGTGAGGGAAGTTTCTGGGGGGCAAGGGAAGGCCACAGGGCCGGGGCGGGGGCGGGGGTAGACAGACACAAGCCTCTGGGACGGCAGGAAAGCTGGCTTGGGGAGAGGGTGTGGCTGCTGCCCCTGGTCTGGGTGACAGGCTGCCCGAGGGAGGGGCAGGTGTCAGGTGAGCCCGTGCAGGGCTGGGCGTGACCTGCCCACCAGGCCTGGGTGCATGGCCTCTGTCCACCTGGGCACGTCTCTGCTGGGCGAGGCTGTGGGCCTTCATGGGAGAGAGTGATGTGAGTGTGTGTGCGTGCGGGAGGGCGGAGGGCCGTCTTGGGCCTCAGGAGCAGGCTTGGGGCGTCCTGGTGTCTCCTTCCTGGGGAGGCCTGGGTGTGGGGCGCCTGGTGGCAGAGGGACCTTCAGCCTGCAGCCTGCAGCCCCTGCCCAACAGCATCTGACACGGCCGTGCCTGGGCCGCAGCCTATTCAGGCCACGGCCGTGTGCGGCGTGTCTGGCTCACGTGTGTCTGCACGACCCACACCTGTGCGACACTGCGTGGGGCAGCAGCCGCCACAGCGGGCGCGATGGCCGTGTCTGTGCTGGTCACGGCCTGGCCGGGCCTGTGCTGCTGGGGCCGGGGCCTGGTGGCCCTCGGCACGGGGGGCGGGCATGTACATGGGGACGTGCTGGCCTCCCCTTGCGCCGCTTGAGCTCCTCGCTGAGGCCCAGGCGGGTGGCACCTGCTCCCCCCGGGCCCCTGCTTGCCCGCCCGGCCCAGCCCCCAGGTGGACACTGGCCTTCCAGGTGCTGTCCCTGGGCGCTGACGTGCTGCCGGAGTACAAGCTGCAGGCGCCTCGCATCCACCGCTGGACCATCCTGCACTACAGCCCCTTCAAGGCCGTGTGGGACTGGCTCATCCTGCTGCTGGTCATCTACACGGCCGTCTTCACCCCCTACTCGGCCGCCTTCCTGCTGAAGGAGACGGAGGAGGGGCCGCCGGCCCCCGACTGCGGCTACACCTGCCAGCCGCTGGCCGTGGTGGACCTCATCGTGGACATCATGTTCATCGTGGACATCCTCATCAACTTCCGCACCACCTACGTCAACGCCAACGAGGAGGTGGTCAGCCACCCGGGCCGCATCGCCGTCCACTACTTCAAGGGCTGGTTCCTCATCGACATGGTGGCCGCCATTCCCTTCGACCTGCTCATCTTTGGCTCCGGCTCGGAGGAGGTGGGGGGCGGCCGGAGGGGGCGGGGGAGGGCTGTGCTCGCCAGCCTGGACCAGTCAGGGTCCAGAGGGGCATCTAACTTGTCTTGCAAGAGGCCGCTGCCCGCCCCTGCCCACGCGGCGCCCTGGGAGCCAGAGCTCTGGCCGGCCGCTGGGGGTGGGTGCCCATCCGCACGCCGGCAGTGACCCCTGTCACAAAGCGGCCG